CTATAGCAAATGTATTATTCCAGTGATGTACAGGGCCATCACTGTGTTGAAATGTTTTGTAAAGAGCCATCTGAGTACCGAAATGCCTCTAATCACAGCCAGTAAAAAGCTCATCTTTCCCTGGTGTGTATGAGGCTTACATTTAAAAGTGATTTAGCTGCGGCCCACTAATGACGTCTGGTCCAACAGGAGTCTTTAACCATTCATTTTAACTTAAACATCCAGGCTCACTCCAAACTAAGATCTGGCGCCCGCCCCGTGCCTAGGCATGGCAGAGTTTCTGCAACACAGCAGCATTTATATTTTAACAGCCCAATATGAATTATGCACAATAAGCAGTAAGAAGGCATTTAATGATGCCACGCTGGTACAATGCATCTCAACAAACAAAGAGTGATCCCCCTGTCTTAGCTGCTGAGGTGGAGGTGCTGATTTGAACAAATCTTTGACCCCCATCCTTCTTGTTGCTTCACGTTTGCAGTAACTGCTCAGGATGAGCGAGGGAGACGGGAATGAGGGCATTACACCCTGTCAGAATATTGATCCGCCCTGACATCTAACGTAATGATTCCTTGTCAGTGAAAAAATGAGTGGACGGACTAAGTTTAGGTCGTATCGCCACTGACTTTTAATCTCGACTTCGCTGCAGTCTCCTTTTGACCTCGTCCTATATAGCGCAATGCAGTCATTGTGAGCTGTATTTTTTTTTTCTTGTGTCATCCAAAGAATCAAAGGGGAAAAAAAAAATACTCTATTTATAGTATTAGAATTTTGAAAATTTTTTTTTCTTGTGTCATCCAAAGAATTAAAGGGGGACAAAAATACTCTATTTATAGTATTACAATATTGAAAATAAAAAATTCTTGTTCAAGATATTTTTGTAAATATCAATATGAATAAATAATAAATATCTAATATACTTCCTCGAGAACCTCGAGATACGAGCATAATCCGCTCCAGGACCGAGCTCGAAACTCGAGGAGCTCATATCTCAAATCATGTTCTCCCATAAGAAATAACAGAAAAATAATTAATCTGTTCTGACCCTCTAAAAGAACGGGAAATTGCTGTGGAGACTTACACACACACACAAAAAATATATAGTATATAAAATAAAATGTTGTTTTAATTATGAGTTCTTACCTTCGAGACAGACGATACAGTAGAGGCTAATGGCGGCATGTGCAGAGGAGGGAGGGAGGAAGGGAGGGAAGAGAGTACTCGTATCTCGATGGTTTGCTCGTATCTTGAAATACTCGTATGTCGAGGTTCCACTGTACTTCTCTGCAAGAAAACAAAGGTAAATACATGGACTTATGTTACTTTATAATTCATTACGTTATGATTGTACTGGTCCAGCACACTTGACATCTAATTAGGTTGTATGTAGCTCTCTCTCACTCTCTCTCTATATATAGAAAGTTGGGAAATTTCCCCACCTTAAAGTTATATTACAAAAGCTATTTCAAGAAACGTAGGTACACTTCATTAAATTTGAATAAATGCTTTCTTTTTTCTTTTTTTTTTAAGTTTTTAAAAGATTTCTCTTTTAAATGTCTTGTATGTACAAAGGGCTAAAAGAAGATTTATCTCCACCTGTTGTAGTGGAGGCAAATACTCTTCTGTACATCAATCTAATGTCCTCCTCCAAGCTTGGCTTAACTGTCCATGAAAATGGAATGTGTGTGTTCGAAAACACTGCTCACTTTTATTTTTAGGCCTCATAAACCACACAGGGTCTGTTTGGGTTTTTCCTTTTCCAAACATTTGGTTTAAGCTCCAAAACAAAATTAAAGATTTCAAACAGAAATGAAAACTCAATGAGTACTCATAAAATATAAATAAGGCCCCAAATATTCTCAGTTATTCTGGGTATGTTGCAAAAGGTACAGTATATGGTGCGGTGCTCATCGGCAATGACTCTGTGTAAAGTAAAGTACGGAGCACGGCTTTCAGACACACACTTTCAGGTCAGGTAGGAGATCTACATCGTCACTGTGCTCAAGGTACAATATGTATGATTTTGCAGCTCTAGGGCCAAATAATCGGACAAACACTAATGTTGCTGGAGAGTGAACTTTCTCACACTTAGTGTGTGAAAGGGTGTTACAACGAAAAAAGAAAGAACTTGCAGTAATCATTTTCTGGCCCCCAGACATTGGTTGGCAAAGAAAGCATTGGACCTCAAGGGTGACTCTCTTTGTACCAACATGATAAAAAAACTCGTACACTGTATTTCTGCCTTAACAGCAGTAAAGTTAAGGTTGTAAAATATTTTAAAAGATTCCATGTTATTAATGTGCATTTACTTTGTTTTCATAAAGTATGTGCACATTTTAATAAATGCAGTGCATACACTGTACAGGGATTCCTCGATTGTGTCGGAATTCCATTTTATTCCAAAAACTGTGGGTATCATTCCAGTTCTAGGGCAAGTAAAACAAAAATATGCAAAAAAATGTATTTATATATTCTAGACAAATATTTGCTTTTTGGAATTCTGGACTGGTCAACCAGGCTCCAGTGTCTTAGTTAGGTGGTATATGTTGGTTTAAGTGGCCTTGACACATCAAGCTAACAATACTACAGAGTGATATGAAGTAGAACTGAACTTTTTTAGGATTTTTATGGGCCGTGCTTGATGCACAATGAGAACCTTCTGTTCTGCTTAGAGACTTAATCTGCCCTGAAGAATATGCAGGATCTCCTTAGAACAGTATTGTAATGAGATAGAAATACCATGGTGGATTCTCTAAATACCCCCTGGCCAGTCATCCATGTGTTTCACTTAAAGTTGAATCTACCTCCTTGGAGTTTCAACCAGCTGCACTTGAACAAATCCCTTGGCTTGATTTCCTTCAAAATTAATCTCCATCTGCTTATTCCCCTTTTAGATATTTATTCTAGTTCACTTTATTTATGAAGCACATTTGAAGCCAAAGTGTTGCACTAAGTCCACATACAAAAAAAAAAAAGAAAGAATGAAGCAACAGTTAGCATTAAATACATACGAAGCATTGAAGAGATTAAGAAACAAGAAGTCATGGAGCATGACATATAATCCACATCAAATCATTTCAAATTTTTAGTATGAATAAACGAGATAACAGGGAAGTACACAATGATGAAAGGTGAAATGAGAAGCGCTGTGAATGATACAACAAAGTTAACAAAAATCGACTTTTTTGCACATTCGATGTCTGATGGTAATTTTCAGGTATTAAATTTAGTTTGTTCAATATCTAAGTCTGAAAAAAAAGTTAGGTTTTTCTAACCTTGTCATCCTTAACACCATGAATAAAGTCTTTCATTCACATCTTCGTAATATAATTCATCTCTGTCTAGTGTGTACATGGAGTTTTTTTGGACAGCCTGACTGTAAACTACACAAATTGGTATTTCATGGGAATAGGATATGTTCTTTATAGTTGAACACTAAACTTGACTTCAACAAATTGCCTTTTGTTCTACCACTCAGACAGCACGCCATGGATACCACACTAAAGTTTAATCCCATGAAGGCTCATTACAGAAAACCGTTTTCCCAACAGAAGGTCTAAGGAGCAGAGACATATTGTACAACCACTCGATATTTAAAGGAGTATTGTCATAGTATCACTTTTCACTGCAAACCCTACATTCAGAACTTTTAATCTCTACTTTGTTCTCCTTTTTTATTCACTTGTGTTCCGTGGCTATACACTGAAGAAATCCTTTCAGTGTAATCCAGTATGTGCCTTACAGAGATATTCGTCATATTGGTAACACATTAATGATGTTTCTACACAAGGAGCACATTTTTTAACTTCAGCACTGGTCTGCACTGATTTCCTTAGCTGTTGCTTCAGGCAAAAAAAAAAAAAAAAAAAATGACATGACTATGTTGTACATCATTTATGCGCTGTCAGCATCAGGATTCAGTGGTTGCAACAGACTCGGTCAAGGGAACAAACATATTGACATGTTGCCACCTAATAAAAGATTAAGTCGCAGACATTGTTTGCTCCAATACATTCCAAATAGCAGCAAGTTATTATGGTTTTTTTTCTATATGAAGAGCATTTCAAACACACGGCGACAGCAATAACAGAGACAATTATTGAGAAATCGACAAATGCATTGGAATAACCCAAAGAGAGACCAAAGAAAAATATGATTCACACAAAAACATATTTTCAATAGACTTCACTGCGATTGTGCACAATAGGAATGAGCTTGTCACCTTCATATTGGAATATCTGGGTTTAAAGGATCAGCTGACATGGTTGTAGGAGAGTGAAGGTATAGAAAATGAACCGAGTTATCCCTATGGTCTAGTATACTGTAGTTACTGTGAGTGCAAATTGAAACCCAGGAGAAATACTTCTCTTGCTGAAGCCAAAATTAAGATCTTTTATTCACTATTTCCTCCCACGTAATCCTTTTCTAGGTTGCAGGGAGAGCTAGTGCTAATCCCAGTTATTATTGGGCAGTGGTGGACTGCTTACCAGTTCATCGTTGGGCCACATCTAGAGACAAACCACCATCATCACTCACATTCATACCTATGGTCAGTTGAGAGTTAAGAACACACACCTTGAGAAACTGTATAACAAACACCATCAGTAATCAACAAAAAAGTTAAACTGTTTGTTTTGGTTTTTTTTAGCTGTAAGACAAGTATGTTTTATTTTTTCGATAGCCCTGCCTGTCCACGACCTACCACCCTTTAGCTCAGCAAACATAACTGCATTCTGTCCCATGAGACTTTGCCATTCTTCACAGAGACTCTGTCTGTTGACCATCCACGCACAGTGATTCGCCATTCTCACTGCACGCTTTCTTTCTTTTCTGCTTTGACACTGCAGGGATTCCCCACTCCAGTGGAATCCAATTCATCATCTCATTTCAGACTTCAGACCAGCAATAGTATCGCACAAACTCTCATTGAAAGTCCAGGACTTTCCAAGAACGTCTGTCTGTGTGTCTGGCAGTAAAGCCATCACGTAATATCATTAACATTTAGGTGATAAATGAAACATAATTTATCGTAACTTTAAAGTCTGCACTGTTGTGAATTGTTGAGATGTGTATCCACGCTAAACTTTTGACAAGCATTGTTGCTGTAATGGCTGAGCTCACTTTGTTGATTCACTTTGGGTAGGACGACTCGGCCTGTCTCCAAATACCAAGTCGATCTGTTGCTACTAACAATTTTCAGTGCTCCCCTGAGGCTGTGAGCCAAGGTTATCATTTGTATCTAGTTAACCAAATATGTTTGATAAGCAATGAGCTTTTCTGAGGATAAATCCCATTGAAATTGGAGCAGGTTACATCTTAGGCTGGTCACCAGAGATTTGGTTTGCAAGCTCTCACTAGAAGACTCTCTGATCACAAGGATAACAACAGGTTGTGAGAATGTTGATGTTATTATATCTGACTGGTAGATGTTACTGATTTATTACAATTGATTTTTAGCAACAGGAGTCCACACTGTAGAGTATGAAGGCCTCAAGGCAGATTTCTTTGGCCGAGGCAACAGAAGATTACTGAAATGTGATTGGAGAACAGCCAATGTAAGCATACACTATTGAAAGGATAAGATTAACATATGTATAAGTATATGTATCTACAAATCACAAAGCAAGGGTCCAGGGTTGCCATGGCAATAGATGCGATTGAGTATTTTTGAGTTTCTATACAATTTGCTGTCCGGCTGAAATGTGAAGGTGCCTTAACTGTTTTTCTACTGTAAATGCACCTTAAACACCACATTGATCCATTACCACATGTCACTTTATACATCCATGTTAACCAGTCAGAAGGACGAGCATACTCAAGCCCATGCTGAAGCAACTGCAGTCCTGGCCTACCACTCTACAGTAATGGTTCTGGGGGCTGTACTGGTGGCTAGGCCGACCACCTCAGCTTCGAGCACTGGGTGAAACTGGACCAAGCTGGAGTATTATAAAGTCAGCACATATGGTTTTGTTCATGACATTAAGGACATGTTTTATGTACAACAGAAATCTTAAGGACATGTTTTATGTACAACAGAATTGCCAAATCAATTGCCAAAAACAACTATTGTATACTTGTGATGTAATATTTTACATTTAATCAAATTATCTCCCTTTTCCTATCAAGTCTCTCACAAAAAGGGTATTGTTGATAATGGAAGCGGAAATATTGATCACTTTCGGAGTGAAAAGTCAGTCACACATCACAAAGGACCTCTAATGTTAATTGTTTTGTTTGTGTAGCTCCAATCACAACATACCACACATCTCCCACAGAAAATTAATGACTAATGGCTAAAGGTTAATATCCACTCAGCTGAAAAATTAATCAACAATGAATTAATGAGATCATCACCTGCATTGACTGATAAAAATTAGTCCTCCAAGGGACTGTCTTGGATGTGAAGGCATCGATCTACAATATAATGCATTGGTGGCAAAGCCCTTGACCAGATGTCTAGAGTGATTGACCCACAACTGTTGGAGGTCACCGACGATAAAAACAACTGGACTGAAAGAAAACAACGTATTGCTTTTATTTTCAGGAAATCCAACATAAACAGGTATAAATAAAAAATAAATTGGGTCTCTGTCTAGAAGTCAAAAGTAATTTATTCTGGTGAAAAACACTTCCAAAAATGGTTCAATGTATCTTTCTCTCATATTAGGCCTGAGGTTTTGTTGCAGCACAGTATTTTCCATCTAAGGGCACTGATAACATTAACATACAGTATATTCTTGAGTCCAGGTAAAAGATGACTACTATAGCACTTTAAAAGCAAAAAAAAAAAAAAATAAATAATTGCAGAAAAAGTCTAGACAGATTATTTTTTCTCTCCAGGTACATTATTGTATGTGCACACTTGGAATTTAGTTAACTCTAGCTAGACATACATAACAGATACTGAGCATTTGTAGTGAAGCAAAGGGTTAGTTGGATGACGAAGTGCTCAGTTTATTGGTCCATCTACCTTCCTACTGTAACACCCATCTCATGTACCTATAGGACTGGGCCTGGGTTACTTTAGAAAAAAAATAATCAACAACTGAATATTTTAGCTAGCTATTTATCTCTGAATATGAATTACCTTGATATTATCAAAATTATTTTTATAATAGAGTATTATTTCGTCAAATATAAACAGTAATGACAATAAAACATAAAAGAAAGTCTTTTTTCATGGCAATAGATACATAATCTCTCTTTGTGTCCTTGACAATACATTTACATAAATGAGGAACCTTTTGAGAAAAGGCTCAGAGGGTGTCCAGGTAAAGCATTGGTCCTTCTTAAATTTATTGCTTTTACCAGTTAAAAAAGCAAAAACACCGTTTCTAATGTTACTATATATCTCCAATATCCAAGAATACGGACACACCAATCACCCCAACAAGCGTCAGTGCACAGACCAATTGCTTCCTGTACTATGGCGTCACAAGCGGATGTCATCGCTACTGTATGTCCAATACGTCAAAATTCGAATAAAATGAAGCAGAGAAAGAAAGAAAACCTTACGACAAACCCACACGCACTAACACATCCACAGTTGGTCCACAACAGTCTCTACAAATTAATCAAAACCCCCCGTTGCAGGCCTGAATTGTAGCATGGCTGCGTTGTGGCCTAAAACAAAATGGCCGCTTCACTTGTAAACAAGCAAACAAATAGAAATAAACAAATGCGAATCATATACTCACAACTTCCAATAGTTAGTAGATGCATTAGCGATGATTAAACCACCAACGGAGCTCACCAACAGCACACAAATCCAAACAGGCCCGTGACGACCCGCAGTCCATACATACGTAGTTCTCAGGAGTTTCGTTTCCTTCCAGAAGGCCGTCGAACTTCCCCGTCTTCCTCTCCCCATTGGTCACTGGCCCGTTCACCGTAGAATGAAAACGTTATTACATAACATTGCTTCAACATGTTACTTCTCTGCTCACTCTCTTCACTAGCGTTTCCACACGCCGCTAGCCCCCCCCAGCTCTCACCTGGAACTGCCGTGAAATTGGCCGAAAACAGCGCGTCCGCCATTGTGATCAAATTGTGATTGACAGCTCAGAAAACAAAGTGACGCGTATCTCACAAGCAGTACTTAAATCAAATTTAACTTAACTGGTCTTTTCCTTTCATATGAACTCAAATAACCTGTTACCTGTTAACTCATCACCTATTTTACCTTATTCTGTGTTTTAACCATATTTATAAATCACCATATTTCTAATATTATTATTTATATATTCATTTAAACAAAAAAAAAATCAATTGTTTTAGCAATGGCTACACTGCTCTAACCTTTGATCATGTACTGTGGGCTGTGACTAAAAGAACAAGATATTGAGTACAAGCAGCTGAAATGAATTTTCTCTGCAGCATGGCTTCTCCTCAATCTCACTACCCAGGACCCACTTAAGCAGGACTGTGACTCTTTGTATGCCATTTTTCAGCTCCTCAGGTATGCACATCTTTTTCATCACAACCTTCTACAGTTGTGATGCTCAGTCATTTTCTTTTGTCCTCCTTCTTGTGTATCTTTTCTATCCATTTCTTTTCACTGTCTTAAGGTTCTTGTGATGCTCCCTGCATAGCCCAGCAACTGATACACTGTACATTAACTACTATGTCAGGGCTGTCAAAAATAATGCTTTGATGACGTTGAATAATTCACCAAGTATAATCAAATTAACATTTTTGATGCACTTACCACACGGGATAATTCAACATCCACCATCCATCTGTTGTTCGTTGCTCCGGTACACCGTCAGTGAACACATTATTATTTACGCACACTGCAGGAGCCTAAATTATCATAACAGCCCAGCATGCCTTTGTGGAGGCTTCCACTTCATGTCAGACGCATGGCTTGAGTCATAGCAGCTTCACAGAGCTAAGTCAACGACTGGCAAGCGGACCGACACTATTGCCTATCTTAAAGGACCATAAACTAGTAAATATTGTTGTGGAAAAAGGTTTCACCAAAGTACTATACTATATTATTTATATACCATATATGTATAAATATATATAAGATTATATTATATTTTCCCTTATTACTCCGTATTAATAATCATTTGAATTAACAATAAATTAAATAAGGTGTCAAAGACATACGTGCTGCCAGTCATCTTTCTTTTGCAGCAAAACAGTGAAAAGTAAAAATAAAGATACGTTTTGATTAATCGTAATCAATCAATTAAACCTGTTAAGTTCAGATAACAAGTCTAAATTACAATGATTGACAGATATACATATACGGGTTATATATAGACTGTATATGTATAGATACTGAGGCTGTCAAAAGCTGATCTGATTAATAAGAACGGAGTGAATTTCATCAGATCAGCCTCAGCCTCACCAAGTGCATGGAAGGATGTGAGTCTACGGCTGAAAGTCTGAATGGTACAATTGTCAAAAGGATTGCAAGGGACTGACTTATTATTATTGTGTGGACAAGGGCTTAACCGAAAGTCTTGAAACTCTCGGCGTCTTCTAGTGACTGTCAAGATTGGACTGTACCTTAAAACCACAAACTCTACAAAGCAAAAATTGCATGCTTGACATTTTTGTTTCCAAGTTACGATTAAGCAACTTTTGCAAGACGTGATATGAGGAAACATCGAGTTACGAGTGCTCAACCGAGTTCCATTTTTCCAAATGACTTATATATTATACTGCAATACCCATGTTTTCCCAATAGATGGCGTAGAAAATGATAAAAGCATTTTAGCATTTTAGCCTGTATTCATGACTTTTACATGACTTTTACATGACTTTTACGAACGCTCCATCTTTCTGCTCCTGACCTGGACCCCTTTTCAATTTTAGGACAATTGTGGTCGCG